CGCCATGGAAAGATAAAGAAGCTTGGCAAATTCTAATACAACAGCATCTTGATGCAGGACGTATATGCCTGTCATCTTCTCTGTGCACTTCTCCAGCATTTATTGTGCCTAAAGCAAACCCAAACATATTACTGCGGTGGGTCAATGACTACTGTCAATTAAACAAAAATACTATCACTGATAGCCACCCACTACCACACATTGATGATATATTGAATGATTGCACAAAAGGAAAAATCTGGGCAACTATTGACATGACCAATAGTTTTTTCCAAACGTGAATGCACCCTGACCACATTCCACTAACTGCTGTAACAACACCATTAGGCCTTTATGAATGGCTTGTGATGCCCATGGGTTTGAAGAATGTGCCAGCAATACATCAGCAATGTGTTACCTTGGCCCTGAGGCAATACATTGGCAAAATCTGCCACATATACCTTGACGACATTGTTATTTGGTCAAATATTTTGGAGGAACACAAGGCGAATGTGCAGACAATACTGCAAGCACTCTGTGATGCATGCCTGTACGTCAATCCAGACAAAACACATCTATTCACAATGCAGCTGTGTCACTGGCACACACATCAGAAACCATGTCTTCCGTCAATGCAACCCTTAAGATTTCAACTGATGACACTTTCCTTCAGGAAATCAAGGCAGGGTACACTGAAGACTCCTGGTGTAAAATCTTAGCCTCCACCACACTGAGCTTACCAACTCTTCAACTGTGTGACGACCTCTGGTATATTGGTGATCACCTTATCATTCCTCACACTTGTGTAAGAGGCCGTTGCAAGCACAGCAGATATGAGTCCTCTTTTTTTGCAACTGTAGTAGCATTTATAGTGTAGCTATATGTTTAAGCCCACATGTTATCATATATTAACAAAAACTATATATATATAGTAATATATATTTATTTTTTAGAGTAAAGTACTACAACTGCATGCCGCTCAACTGACTCACCAGATGAATTTTTCTCTACACTGGTCTTCAAAGAATCTTCTGTAAAATCAGTAAGATGCCCCTTCTTTATGCAACGTCTCTTAGTCACCATACCATCATGATACCACACCTCTTTTCCAGGGGTAATTATATAAGATGTAAAGTGAAATCCACCAGAATAAATTATGCCTCTCAGTGGAAGGACTGTGAACTTACCATTGGAGCCTTTAATACGAATAGTCTTGCTGATTGAGACTCTACTTGTATTCAAACTGAATACAAGAAGTGAAGGGGGTTGATCATACATTCGGGAAGTTGCCATTGGAGAACCACAATCACATATGCTTGGTTCCATGAGCCATTGTTGCAACCATTCATTAATTGACTTGTAAGTTCCATCAAGTATTGACATGACTCTCTCAGGTGGATTATCAAGATCTTGAAAAAAATCACATGTATTACATGATACTCTGCGGTAGCCCAAGCTAATGTTGTGATGTGAAGTAAAAATGTATGAGATTAAATCCCGGATATCAGTCCCAGTTTGTCCACTTGGAAATAAATCTGAGTTTTCTTGTTTAAGTGATGCACGCACATCATTCCTAACATTTTCTAAAGTTTCAAGACCTCTGATAACTTTTTTGTATCCTTCTGACAATATTTTTCCTTGGTTACCAAATGAATAAAACGATTTTGTCCAGCTTTTTGGATTGTAAATCCAAATCTCACACAAAATTGTAAATAGAGAATCATATGAGCAGCTGTAATTTACTGAATCCCAAAGAATCCCAACAGGAGTTTCAGGTGTAGGTCCAAAGCTGGCTCTAATCTTCTTTGATTTAGGTTCATCAGAATTCAGACCCTCCTCTGCCTTCCTTTTTAGTGTAGATGCAATTGTCTTTGATCCCTGTGCAGGAACAAAACATCCTGTGACATTTTTACTTTTCTTTTGTGATTGAATGTTGACCTCTTCAGTTGCCTTATCAGTGGTTGATTTTGTGGTGAGTGTCCATGAACTATCAGTAATCACTTGGAAAGTTTGCATTGGATAGATTTCACTCCATCTGATTGGCCCCATCACATGCTGTGGACAATACCCCTTCCCTTTGAGCTGTTGATACTGACATAAAACAGAATTGCGCAGTTGCCCATTGATTGATTCAGGTAATTGGCCATTGTATCTAAGGTTGGTAATGTCATCAAGAAGCTCAAGTTCTCTAAACTCTTGTCGAAGATAACCAGATGCACCACAGGTGATTTTTGATGGGTCAAATCCTTGTACAATTACAGTTCCTTCACATGTTGCACTTCTAGAAAGAGCAGTATAGTAAGATAAGTGGTTACAACAGCTGTTTAAATCCACCACATTAAATGGATGAGTCTTTCCTTGTGATGCATAGTCCGTCATTGCAAAGTTGCAGCACAGACACTTGAGAACAAGATATAGTGAGAGTAACATCACTTGGACAGATACATTCAATAGACCTGCTGTTCTTTACTAGTGGAACTACATTCTCAGGCAATCCCTCAATCTTGATTGTCTTGGCAGGACGATCAAGCTTTACAAACAAAGTTTCAAGGATTCATTGTCCACTTGGGCCCAACTTTGCATCCCATCCAACGATATGACCTTCTTGACCTTTTGTTATACATAATTCTGTTGCATCATTATTTCGTATTATAGCTGGCATACCAATACACAGTGAAAGTTTTCCAGGAACATGGTCAGAGGCAGAATGACACAAGTTCCAAAGTAAATTTTGAAGCTTTGGACTGATAGTTTTGCATACAGTAGTTTTCTTAGGTCTTCCACAAGGCTTTTTCCCAGTGACTGGATCACACTCAACCCCCAGTGTATCCACAGAGTAAAAGTCAGTAAGTGTTTGGCCAGTATCTGTTGCAAAATGTGCAGAACCTAATTCATTAATTCAATCCTTCTGGGAGTTCAGAGCAGTAATGATAGAGACATTTCTGAAACGTTTGTCAGCCAACTTTGGCTGGTTAGGTCGCCTTCCTGCAACACGACTTCTTAAAAATATAATGTCATCAACAGTACATGCTGCATATCTCATATTTTCTAGAGCTGTCCTTAGCTTGGCATCTTCCACTGATTGTGTATTTTGTCTCATATTTTTCCGTAGCATCACAACAGTAGTCACTTGGTGCCAAAGTGCTTTACCTATAGCAGATTGCTGCCCACGTTCTGACATGGAGGCATCCACCAATGTGCCAACAGTTCCATTGTAAAGGGCCTGGCCTTGGACTGGCATAAGCTGTGCAAAGTCACCTGCAAAAATAATATTAATTCCACCAAAGGGTACATCCATATTGTTTCTTCCTTTGGCCAGTTGTGCACTTATTTTATATAGCTCATAACATGAGGTCATAGACACTTCATCTAGAAAAATATAGTCTACACCATCTAGACGAGATCTGACCTGTGCCATGGTTGAATTCTCATTATGGTTTCTTCGGGAATCACTTTTTACACCTAAAGCTGAATGGTATGTTGAGCCATTCAATAGAGCAGCAGCAGATCCAGTCGGTGCCAATATCATAATTCTATGTGCCTCATTACGTTTATCAAAGAGGGCTATTAATGCCTTTATAACCTGAGATTTTCCTGTTCCACCCATACCTCCCAGATACATTTTAAGTTGCTCACTTTCTTTCAGTTGCATGGTTGGCCACAATTCGGAATGCTCTTTCCTGCTCTTCATTCAAACTGAATGTTTGGGCAATGTCATCTATCATTTTCTGTTCTTCTTCTTTCTTGGCTTTGAATTTTTTGTCCAAGTAGCTGATATCATCTACAACCACTTCATTTTGTGATGTCCCATTTCTTTCTTTATCTGCTTTAGCCACTGGAAGGTTCTTTGAACGTGTTTCAAGAAAGAGTTTCTTTAGTGACTGTACAAGAACATTCCACTGAGATCCAGTTCGTTCTTCTTCTGGCTTGAAGTTTACATCCACTGGATCAATATCACCAATGCATGGATCAAGCCATCCTGCATTTTGAACTACATTCTCAATTCTGTTCATTTCATGAAGCTTCTGATTATTGATGCTATTGGGGTCTCCCAACATATAGAGTGATTCATCAACATCCAATGGACCATCTTCACCAAAGTCAGGAAAGTTAGCATCAAGTTCACCTCCAGTGTCATCCCATGAGCCCAGTATTCCTTCTCTTTCACCTTTCTTCTTCATCTGTGCAGAATAGTCATCTCTGGCATCATTACATTCATACTTGATATTGAAATTATTCATAAGCTCAAGTTGTCTTGCTGAAAATGCATAGCCACAAAAAGCTTCATCCCAAGACTCATCTTCTAGTTTCAAATATTTGCCATTTCGCCAAGGTTTGAACAAAGAAAGCATAGTAGAACAGTAATATTCTCTGTCACCTTGATCACAGCGAGGTAAGCCTCCGCCAACAAAATTTGGTATAAGAGCATTCTCCTCATCAACAACAACTACCTTGTGTGTGCAATGTTGAGGGTGATCAGGTAGAAACTCTTGGCTATCAGGTTCATCATTGTAAAAATTTTCATAGTTGTTAAGTTCATCATCAGAATCTTCACCAAGCAATTCATCTATTGATTCATCTTCTATATCACATGTAGTTGCTCCACCGCCTAAGAAATTGAGTTCATCTTCTCCTTCGGTAACTGATTCATCATCAGATTCAACTTCATTTTCATTTTTGTCATAGTGAGCATCGAATTCCTGCTGCTCCTCTTTTGTGTGTTTCTCTTTTTTTGCTTTTCTTATCCAGTCATATAAAGACATCTTCTCATAAGCAATAGGATGGTAAATATAATCATAAACATTTGACAATCCAATGTACATTCCCTCATATTTTTGCAATACTACTTTCTCTGGCATTTCTTTCTCATCAGAAACAGCTGACTTTGATGTGTCGTTTTCTGTTGTAATCATCCAGGGATTTCGAGCCTCTCTTACAAAATTTTTCCAATAGAAAAGTGTGAACTTGTGACTTGTATAGTGGTCAGGGTTTCCCAGCAGATAGAGAGAAGCCATAGGACTTCCTATTTCCATCCTAGCAGTTAATGCATTCACCATTTTTGTCATCAATCGACAAGCAGTATTTTGCCTGTCATCATTACCTCCAATCATTTCAGAGTTTCTGTTAAACACTTGACGAACAGCATCAAAAGCTGTATATGAATTTAAGCCAGTTTTTGTTACATATTCAGTGATATATCCAACAACCGCCTTTATTGCTGTACCTGACATCAAGCTAGTAGTATCTGTGTTGCAGCGAAGAAGATATGTTAGCTCAGGTGTGAATGTATTGAGCCACATTTCACCCTTCTTTATTTTCAATGCACCGCTCAGCAGATCAACCATTGTCTCCTCTACAATCTCACGTGGAAAGCATGCCTTACATTGGCCTTGTGCATTTAGACACCCTTTCCGCTTCACTTTTGTAGGGTCTTCCCCATCTATCTCAGGTCTGCGGCACCCATGATGATTTGATCTAGATAAAATATCATCTGTTGTTGCATGAAAATTACCCCACCATACTTTAAGATTAGTGCATCTTAAACATTTGTTGCACCCTCTATTCTTGCAGAGAGGAGGTGGAGGTATAGGCATAGTATGGGTTGGATTTTTGTATTCTGGATCATTTTTCTGAGCATCTTGACATTGAGCTCGAATATCTTCAAAGGATCCTCCATGAAGTTCTCCTTTATGTACTGATTCAAGATATTCAACAATACATTTTTGAAAGTCAGATGAAGGATCCATAATTCGATCTCGTATGTCTTGAGGAGATAAGGCACCTTTTATCCACTTGTGTAAGAGGCCGTTGCAAGCACGGCAGATACGAGTCCTCTTTTTTTGCAACTGTAGTAGCATTTATAGTGTAGCTATATGTTTAAGCCCACATGTTATCATATATTAACAATTATATATTTATAAACTATATATATATATAGTAATATATATTTATTTTTTAGAGTAAAGTACTACAACTGCATGCCGCTCAACTGACTCACCAGATGAATTTTTCTCTACACTGGTCTTCAAAGAATCTTC